ATGCATCGCCAATGCGGCTTGGTCCCGATTTCTTTCACGCGGATGTCGCCGATGCATCGCCGACGTCGCCGATGCATCGCTGGTGCATCGCATCGCCGATGTATTGCCGAGGTATCGCCGATGCGGCGCGATCCTCCGACCCCATCTGCTCCGACCCCATCTGGGAGGCATCCAGGACAGGGCTCAGCCTAAACGGTGTTTTTCGTTTTCGGTTTTGAGGCTGTTGTCCCTCGGTTTGTCTTCGTCCTTCTTCTGCTGCAAAACAGAACCGCAACGAGACCGACCCGCGAAATCGACCAAACACCGTTCAGGTCGAGGCCCAGCTTCGGATCCTGCTCCTCCTGCTCCTCTGCAACGAGCGAGGGTGGGAAAACGAGAATCGGGGAAACGCATCTACTCGAGAGCTCGGGTTGGTTGACGCATTTGAACGGTGCCGTTCTGGATATTTTGACAGTGCAGTTTTCGTGGGATGCTTACAGCGGGAGCTCGCGTCAAGTTTCGGATTGGGTCTTGCCATTGTCCTGACGGCTTCGCCAGGTCAACCCGAGTCCCCCGAGCCCGAGTTCTTACGTCTTCCCGAGAGAATGAGACGGCCTTCTCGGAAGGCGGCGGGCTTTCTCAGAAGCCCTCCGGCCTTCCGAGGAGTTTTCTGTGTCTTCGGGGAAGGCTTAGGGAATTGCTCAGAAGGCCCGGGAGACTTCACTTCCCCCCCCTTCGCTCGCCGCCGAGCTTCTGCTCCTGCGGCCCTGGACGCTCTCGAGACAGGAGAACATCGCGACGGACGGCTTCTTGCTACTCTCGGCTTCTGGGGGGCTTCACCGGGCCTCGGGGCCGTCGAACACCGACTCAGGACGACAAAACCTGTCCTGGGGAGTGGGTCGAGGTGATCGCGCTCGAGGCCATCGTCGTCGGACGCCGTCGACGTCGAAGACGTCGCCGAAGTCGGACGGTGTCGTCGTCGACTTCGGCGACGTCTTCGCCGAGGAACGGGTCGAGACCATTGGGGGTCGACGCTGTGGGAAAAAGTCCTGCCGTCGGGGGTCTCGGGCTGCCCCTCCCCTGAGGTCCTTCGGCCTCGCCTGTTTTGGTCTTCCTGGGAGGCCCTCGTCGCCTCGTCGGGATTCGCCTCGAAAGTCTGGCCAGAGCGATGCTCGGGAGAGGTCCAGGGCGTAGCGGCGTCGGTGCTTTTTTGGGGGGTCCCCCACAGACATGTTTCAAGGTCCGGTTCCCGAGGCAGCCGTTGGCGTCCATGGTTGAGGGACAGAGCAAGGGTGTGTGTGAGCAGCAGCCTTCGGCCTGGCATCGCTCGGACGTGTGCACTTTTTCTCGGCGAGGGCCACCGAGGAGCCTCCTTGATCATTTGGCGACAAAGCCACGCACGAAACCGAACAAAAGCACAGGGAAGGGGCGTCCGAGCAGCAGCCTTCGGTGCCCCATGAGATCCGATCCTGGCGTCGCCAGCGGTTCGAGCCCGGCGGGCGAGTTCGCCCCGCATCGGGCCCCGGTGGCCCCGCCGGGTCGATGCGGCGCGAAAATTGGGCGCAGAGAGGCGGGGCCCGGGGCTCTCTCGGCCGGGATCGCTGACGACGCCTCGGCTGTGTCGCGCCGTGCTGCACCCCGGCCCGCCCTCCGGCCGCCGGAGGCCCCGCCCGCCTGTGCTCTGCCTCCCCAAAGTAGAGCTTTGCGTAGCCCGCCCAGCTTTGAACCCGAAGAGGGTCGCTCTCGACCCGCAGGCCCAAAAGTTGTGTCGCGCCGTCGGATCTAAGGATTGCAAAAAACGAAGGGTTTTTTTGCAATCCTTCGTTCAAGGGTTTTTTTGCAATCCTTCGTCGGATCTAAGGGTTTTTTTGCAATCCTTCGTTCGGGTGCTGCTCCTCCCTATGGGGCTCCATCGCACGCAGCTCGTCAAGGCGGGGGTGCTTCGTCGTTGTCGGCCTCCGGGGGCGCTCGTCGCCGGGCCACGGGGGCCGTCAGAAGACGCAGTGGGGCGATGGCATGGCGGCGTCGACAACGGCAGACACGATGATGACAGTAGCGATGCTGGTGACGACGATGGCGATGAGGACGGCCAAGCCAGCGACGGCGCCGATGCTGATGACGCCGCTGACGACGATGGTGTCCACGTGTGGGTGATGATGGTTTTGGAAGGATTTCGGCATGCGCGCGCGGCCGACGGGCTTCGAGTGGCCCGCACGGTATTGTTCGACAGGGTTCGTGCCCCCCCCCCCTCCCGAGCACGCGCGCAGTGGCGTTCGAATGATTCCGACATGCGCGCTCGACGCGCACGTTTGGACGGCATCGACGGACATGTTGACTACAACCTTTGCTTCTCATACGAATTCGGAAAAAAACAGGCTGATTTTTGTTTAGCACTCCTGCTGCAACACCATGTATTTGTTGTGTTTGTGTGCTTGTGCTTCGGGACATTCCATGTTGAAATCCTTGCGATGCCCCTGATGTTTGGAGGTGTCTGGCATGCGCGCGCGCGACGACGCGCGCGTGTGCAACCCCTCACCTATGTTGCAACGGATTCTTAGACACGTCTGATATTTGATTAACGAATGTGCGCGTTTAGATGTTTTGGCTGGGGAGGAGGGGGGGTCGGTACCGGCTGGGCTGGGGTGGTATGAATTCACGTGCAAAGTGGGAAATTGGGCAGGATCATATGTGAATCGCACATCCTCAGGGGCACCATTAGTCCAGCCTCGGGAGGGTGGTGGAATCGATTCTCTTTTGGACAGGAGGCTCCACGTTCTGCAACACATGTTCTGCAATGTGTGTTGTGCAAGTTATGCGGTGCAATTTGTGTGGTGAAATTCACTTCGACTGTCTTGAAGCTGTCCTCTCCACTGCTCGTGCAAACATCCCACCCTCCCACCCCCAACTTGGTTTGCAAAACCTCTTAACACCGTGACGGTGGGTACCACATGGCACTTGGCAACGACAGCGACGCCGACGACGACAGCGACAACGACGACGACGACTACGCCGACGACGACTACGACGACACCGACGACGTCTCCGACGATTTCGACGACGACGACAGCGACGACGACGACGATGACGACGACGACGACGACGACGACGGCGACACCGACGACGACGCCGACGCCGACGACGCCGACGCCGACGACGACGACGACGACGGCGACGACGACGCTGACGACGAGGACGACGACGACGACGTCGACGCCGACGACGACGACGACGACGCCGACGACGACGACGACGCCGACGCCGACGACGACGACGACGAAGGAGGAGGGAGGACGACGACGGCGGCAACGACGACAACGACGAGGGAGGAGGGAGGACGGCGACGACGCGAACGACGAAGAAGGATGGAAGACGGCGACGCCGACGACGACACCGACGAGGGAGGAGAGAAGACGAGGACGACGACGACGCCGACGACGGACGACGACGACGACGACGACGACGACGACGAGGGAGGAGGAAAGACGACCACGGCGACAACGACGACGGAAACGACGACGACGCCAAAGATGACGACGACGACGAGGAAAGATAGAGGACGACGACGGCGACGACGACGACGACGACGACGAGGGAGGAGGGAGGACGGCGACGACGACGACGACTATGCAAGAGCGCGCGCGCACGCGTTTTGCTGGAAATCCGTGTTGCGATTCCTTCTGTTTTTTTTCATGTTTATTGGGCACTGGATTTTGAAATCCTTGCGGAACCGACGGTTTTTGAAGGATTTCGGCATGAGCGCGCGACGGCGCGCGCGCGTGCACTTCGTCACAATTGTGCAGAGAGTTCTCTCGACGGCACGCGCGCAAGGGCGATCGAACGATTCCGACATGCGCGCGCACCAAGCCTGTTTGGTAGCTTTCCTTTGAAATTGTTGAAAACCCATGGTTTCCGCAAGAATTCGCAAGAGCGCGCGTGTAAGTTTCTTTAGAACATCAGTGTTGCGAAACCCTAAGTTTTTGCTTGTTTTTGAAAACTTGATTTTGAAATTCCTCCGATACCGAAGGTTTTTGAAGGATTTCGGCATGCGCGCGCGACGACGCGCGCGTGCGCACTTCGTTCCAGCTGTTGCAAGGGATTCTTGGCAACTTGTCATTTTTGATAAACGAGCGCGCGCGCATATTCTTTTTTGCAGAGGATGGCAGGGGGGGGGTCGATACCGGCCTGGCTGGGATAGTACGAATTCACAGGTAGGATGGACGATGGGGCATAATCATACGTAAATTACAATACGGAAAAGGGGGATCGACATTTCTGGGGGAGGGGGTAGAGTCTATTTTTTTTTTTAAAAAAAAGGAAAAATATGAAATGAGAGAATCTACGCGGTGCACTTCATTTTTGACAAACGAGTTGACACATCCCGTGCTCTTGCAAACACTCCACCCAACCACCGGCAACTTGGTTTATAAAACCCATAAGGTGGCGATTGCGATGCATGCTCGGCGTTGGCTGGTGCGTCTCTGCGGCCGCGCCAACCCAAGCACGCGCGCGCAGCGGCCGGCTGGTTTGCCGCGACCGACGCGGCCGCGGTGGCGCTGATTGTTGGGCACATACCAGTGGGCACTTCATTGCGAGTCGGCGACTTGGGCGGGCGCGGTATCAGGGCAACGTCGACAACTATCGGCCCAAGACGCTCCCGGGAGGTCCCCACAGCCCCCCAAGAGGCCCCAAGAGGCGTCCCACGAGGCCAACAGGAGGCCAACATCAGCGATTTCCGATGTGAAAACATACACTTTAGCATGCACGGTTTTCTGCTTTCACGGCGTTGACGATGGTCCAATAGACCCCCAAGACCGGCAAGCTCGGAGCAGCAGGCTCGTATGGCCTGGCTGCGCAAGCGGTGCGTCGAGCCGCGCATTCGACTGGTCGCCACGCTGGCGCGAGAGCAATCGCGAGAGGGAGACGAAGTAGAATAACGAGTCTTGGTCGAGAGTCTCCTCCGCAACGGACTGCTGACGACGCCCGATCTTGGACGCGTGGAGCAGATTGGCGCCTTGCCGTGGATGACCGAGAATGGCCACGTGCCGAGCGGCATGACGGCGGAACGACTGCTGAAGTGCGGTTACGAGGTGCCCGTGATCAACGACTTCGCGTACCGAGACAATGGAGTCTGGCAGTTGGTTTCAGGCCGCACGCTGGCCAATGTGCGACGACTTCCGGTGATATCGCACCTCAATTACTCAGGACGGTGCGTCGAGGTGTCGGTGCGGGAATCGGCCTCGCGCGGCGACTCGCAGGCCACGGTGAGCATCATCGCGACAGGGAAAGCGGTGCCCTTCTCACATGAGCAGGTGGCCCACGCGGGTGGAGAGATGCCGTTGCAGCACGACGCGTCGCTCTCAGCGATCTGCGCATGCGTCGGAGGCGTCATCGCCCGGCGCACGCGAGTTCGCGAGTCGGGGTCTCTGCGCATTCACCGCGGCTCTATCGCGCTGCAACTCGGGATGATCACGCTCGACCAGACGGCATTCCGAGCTCGATGGGAGCGCCTGAGCCGATGCTTGGTGGGCATTACTGCCGACACCACGCCTCTGGCGAGAATCGGGTCCCGCCCCCGCCAGGAAACAAAACCAGGGCCTCGACAAATTTGTTCTGCATTTTTTTGACACATTGATTGGTTGAAACAAATGCGGTCGTCGCCGCGCGCTTGCCCTGATTTAGCATTGTCGGTCGACGGACGCACGCGAAACGCGCGAGTTTCCTTATCATAATTGTTTCTGCCGTGTGCCGCGTTTTCATGACGCACGTGCCACGCCTTGCCCTTTCAGACTCAATCGCTCGTACTAGTGCGCGGACCGCATGCAGGCCGCAGTCCACGCGCGCTAGCGCGGCGTACCGCAGCGCGCTTCGAAACGACGTTGGGTACAATGGTATTTTTTTACCGCAACGCCGCGGATTTGTTAGCCACCCCGCGCGGGTGATGCCGAACGCACGCGTGTCCCACCGCACGTGCGCCGCCGGAGCTAATTTTCCGATTTCGGTCGTGAATTGTATCGCGGGCGCGTGTCAGGCGCCCTCGACGTGTCATGCGGGCCCGCGCATTGGGCGTCCACGCCTTGGGCGTCCAGCAGAAAGGCGGTCGTGGTTCTCGGAGAACCACGACCGCCTTTCTGCTGGCCGAGATGTCGTCGGTGGCCGACGTGGGGCGGCCGCTGTGGGCCGAGTCCACGCGCCGCGGGCACTGCGGACTGACGTCCGACGCGTCGGGCAAGGAAGTGCTGGCGCAGGTGGGCCAGGCGGAGGTGCACGTCACGGTGGCGTCGAACGGCGATGATGCCACGGCGCGAGCAGACCCAGCAGCAAAAGGACAGCGACGCGCAGCGGTCGACGCCGATGGCATTTATCGCCCGTCAGCCGCCCTCTTGGAATCCGACGAGATCGGACCGCGTGGGACACAGTTGGCGCGATTAGTGTTTCGCCGAGCAACGTGCGGGCTTCAGTGCGGGGACGATGCGGTGATCACGGGCTTGGCGCGCGGCTGCCGATTCGCGGCCTGCGAACAGGTGCGCGAAGGTCGACAGCACGGCGAGCACGGTACGGTCGCGGCTGCGGTGTTTACTCCTCTGCGCTCGGTCGGTGCGAACGCGCGCAACCTGGCTCGTTTGGCCTTGCAGCGCACGTCGACCGAGGGCACGAACGCGGATCCGAGCCATTATACGCAGTCGTTCTGCGAGGCGACGGGGCGGGTGAAGCAGACGCTCCTTGGAGCTCTCATGACGCAGGGGCCGCGGCTCAAGCGAGCCACCGGCTACGATCCCCTGCAGGCGGAGAATATGGAGCGGTGGGTCTCGGAGTCCACTCGCCGAGGCCTGGAAGAGCGGCCGATGACGTCCGACTTGAAGCTGCGCCGGCAACCAGTGAGGCGCAAGCGCTATGCCCGCTGGGACTTAAATTGGGACAAAGAGCCCGATGGTTCCGATGTGGAGAGCGAGAGCAGCTGGGATTCGCTGGACGAGCACGCGCTGCCAGGTGGAAGTAGACCCTGACCACATTTTCATGCAATGCAGCTCTGCCTTCGCGGGCGGGGCGGTCCTCGCGGACGGGCTCTGCGGAGCCTTGCACCAACGATTATGTCGTACTCCGCACGGTCGGGGTGATCAGCTTTTAAGGCGCTTGAACCTTGACCAGAAAAAAGCCCCAAAGACCAGTAGACGTTGCGGGCAAGTCTCCAACGATTCCGACGACGACGACAACAACGATGACGACGACAACATCGTCGACGACGACGACAACGCCGACGCTGACGACGACGACGATGACAACGCCGACGGCGACGACGACGCCGACGACGACGACGATGAACACGCCGACGACGACGACGACGGCGACGATGACGATGGCGACGACGACGACGACGTCGCCAATGAAGACGACGGCGACGACGAGGGAGGAGGGAGGACGACCATGGCGACGACGACAACGACGAGGGAGGAGGGAAGACGACGACGACGACGACGACGGCGACGAAATAGGAGGGACAACGACGAAACGCCGACGAAGACGAGGGAGGAGGAAGACGACCACGGCGACAACGACGACGGAAGCCACGACGACGCCAAGACGATGACGACGACGACGACGACGAGGAAAGACAGAGGACGACGACGGCGACGCGACGAGGAGGGAGAAGGGAGGACGGCGACGACGACGACGACAACGACGCAAATGCGCTCGCTTTTGTGGAACATCCGTGTTGCGAAACCTTGTGTTTTTGTGTGTGTGTGCGTGCGTGCGTGCGTGCGTGTGGGTGGTTGGGTGGGTTGGTGTGTGTGTGTGTGCGTGTGTGTGTGTGTGTGTGTGTGTGTGTGTGTGTGTGTGTGTGTGTGTGTGTGTGTGTGTGTGTGTGTGTGTGTGTGTGTGTGTGTGTGTGTGTGTGTGCGTGTGCGTGTGCGTGTGTGTGTGTGTGTGTGTGCGTGTGTGTGTGCGTGTGTTTGTCGTGTGTGTGTGTGTGTGGTGTGTGTGTGTGTTGTGTGTTGTGTGTTGTGTGTGTTGTGTGTTGTGTGCGTTGTGTGTGTGTATTGTGTGTGTTGTGTGTCTTGTGTGTTGTTTGTGCGTGTTGTGTGTGTTATGTGCATTGTGTGTTGTGTGTGTTGTGTGTTTTGTGTGTGCGTGCGTGCGTGCGTGCGTACGTGCGTGTGTGCGTGCGCGCGTGCGTGCGTGCGTGCGTGTGTGCGTGCGTGCGTGTGTGTGTGTTGTGTGTGTTGTGTGTATGTTGTGTGTGTGTTGTGTGTGTTGTGTGTGTCGTGTGTGTTGTGTGTGCGTGTGTGTGTGCGTGTGTGTGTGTGTGTGTGCGTGTGTGCGTGTGTGTGTGTGTGTGTGTGTGCGTGTGCGTGTGCGTGTGCGTGTGCGTGTGCGTGTGCGTGTGGGTGGGTGGGTGTATGTTTTTTGGGCACACGATTTTGACATCTTTCCGAAACCGAGAGTTTGTGAAGAATTTCGGCATGCGCGCGCGACGTCGCGCAAGTCTGCACTTCGCCCCGCTTTTGTAGAATATTCTCGCAACGGCACGCGCGCAAGGGCGTTCGAAAGATTTCGACATGCGCGCGCCCCAAGCCCGTTTGGTAATATGTTTTGGAAATGTTGAACATTTATGGTTTTCGTAAGAATTCGCAAGAGCGCGCGCGTTGCGAAACTTAGTTTTCGTATTTTTTGGGGGGAAGCTCGATTTTTGCAATTCTTCCGAGACCAATGGCTTCTGAAGGATTTCGGCATGCGCGCGCGACGACGCGCGCGCGCGTGCGCACTTCGTCCTGTTTGTTACAGAGGGATTATTGAAAACTTATGGTTTTTGATAAACGGGTGCGCGCGCATAGAATTTGTTGCAGAGGATGGCGGGGGGGGTCGATACCGGCCTGGCTTGGATCATGTGATTTTTTGGTAGGATGGACGAAGGGCAGAATCGTTTGTAAATTGCAATACGAAAAGGTGTACCGTTAACTCCCGGAGGGGGGTCGAGTCTATTTGTCTTTCAGAACGGAGAAAACATGTTGTGCAAAGCATGTTTTGCAAGTCCTATGTGGTGCAATCTATGTGTGGCGATGTACATGTGGTGCAGTTCTTGTTGTGGCGGCGAGGCGGCCGTGGGGCGGCGACGGCGACGACGTAGCCGCCAGACCGGCGCGCAGGCTAAGACGACGGGCGGCGACGAGGCGGCGACGGGGCGGCGACGGCGGCGATAGAGCCGCCCGACCGACGGCCAGGCCTTCACGACTGGCGGTGACAAGGTGACGACGGGGCGGCGGCTGTTGCTGCATAGCCGCTGGACCGACGGCCAGGCCCAGTTCTTTGGACGAGAGGCAGGAGCCCGTCAGTGCAAGCACTGGTTCGGGGACACATACCCCCCCCTTGTCGTCGGAGCGGAGAGCGAGGCCATGGCGGCGCAGGAGGGCCTCGCGGCAGAGCTGGAACGGCGGAGACTCCTGGAGCGCGTCCAGGAGCAGGAGGGCGTGATCCGCCAGCTCTGGGACAGGTACAAGCAGGATTTCGGCGGACGAGGAACAGTAGAACAGACCCCAGACATGTCCGGGTCGTGGAGCAAGAGCACGGCGGGGGGGTTCTGTCCGTTTTCGGCATCCCAGAGACATCGCCTGGCCCTTCAGAGCCGTCAGCAAAAACGCTGGGGATGCGAAGCTGGCTCTGGGAAAAGAAAGGGTCGGGACTTTCGGGGACCTCGTACCGAATTCGCTTAGCGGGCCCAATCATATGGAGTTGTGAGTACCGCGCTTGTGAGTATCACTTCCAGTGAAACTACCTTTCGGGCCACGAAGCGCGTGAGGGGTGTGCCGAAAGTGGCTTGGGGGAGCATGCGGGTGCTGCCACTGGGGCCTTCGGTGGAGCTCCATATAGGGCCACGATGCTTGCGAGGGCTGTGCCGAAAGTGGTCTGGGGGAGCATGCGGGCGCTGCCACTGGGGCCTTCGGTGGACCCCCTATGGGGCACCGAAGCGCGTAAGGGGCGTGCCGGAATGGGCCGGGCGAGGCATGCGGTCGCTTCCACTGGGGCCTTCGGTGAAGCTCCCTCTGGGGCCACGCAACGCGTGAGGGGCGTGCCCAGATGGGCTGGGGGACCGCATGCGCGCTCCCCCCTTCTGGGGGCTTCGGTGGAGCTCCATGCGGGGCCACGAGGCGTGCGAGGGCTGTGCTGACATGGGCAGGGGGGCCGCATGCGACACCCCACCCCCCAGGGCCTTCGGTGGAGCTCCCGGTGGAGCCACGACGTGTGTGATGGGATGTGCCAACATGGGCCGGGGGGACCGCATGCCCCCACCCCCCGGGGTCTTCGGCGTCCCGGTGGGGCCACGACATGTGTGAGGGTTGTGAGGAGGGGAAGGAGGAGGAGGAGGAGGAGGAGGAGGAGGAGGAGGAGGAGGAGGAGGAGGAGGGGAAGGAGGAGGAGGAGGAGGAGAGGAGGAGGAGGAGGAGGAGGAGGAGGAGGAGGAGGAGGGGGGAGAGGAAGGAAGAGGAGGAGGAGAAGGAGGAGGCCTTCGGTGGAGTTCTCTATGGGTCACGAGATGTGTGAGTGGTGTGCCGACATGGGCGGGGGACCGCATGCGTACCACATCTGGGGCGTTGGAGCCCCCTCTATGGGGCCACGGGACGTGCGATGGGGTGTGCCGAAAGGTGCACGCGGAGGGGTATGCCGAAATGCGCATGAGGATAAAGGAGGAGGGGACAGCGGGAGAAAGGAGTGGACGCGGGGCGCTGTCCATTCAAAATGAGGACCCAGCACCACACAAGGTTTGGGAAAAAGTCAGGACATCGCATGCCTGGGTGCGGTCGGACCGAGAAATAAAATCGAGGTCGGTTCGGGGAGGGTACCCTGACACTCTTAGTGTTGGTAAGATGCTCTTGCACAACCTGGGGGAGGGTACCGTGGGTGGCCTCATGGTTTGGGGTGCTTTGGTCTGCGGAGGGTGTCATGTGCTTGCAGGTTGTTCTTCGGTCCTACAGTCGGTGCGCTGAAGAAGGAACCCTTTTCGTTGGGGAGGGGCTCCGTGTTCCTTGATTGTTTCACAGCTTGCCTCAGGGTTTCCTAATGTTTTCGATGGGCAATCGAAGTTTAACTAATGGGAAAAAGGGGCCTCGTTCCTTATTTAGGGTTCCTTTGGTCAACGCCCCGACTGTAGGTTTGGCCGCTCGTATTTGTTTCCGCTATCGGAGACGCCCGTCAAAGGGCGGCCCGGAAGCTGTACCATGGCAGGCGGGGCATAGCCCTTCGAGCCGCCCCTGGCCGGGCGCCCCAGCCGCGGACAAGCCTCTTCTTTATGCCGCCACTCGCCGCCGGAAGGACGTGGGGCGCGAGCCCGACGTCTGCGAGCTGGTGGCTGACGCTGGGCCGCGCTCCAGGAGCCGAAGGAGAACAAGCTGCACACACACAGAAACTTAAATCGGGCACGTCCCTGGAATGTGCACACGTGGTAACTAACTCATTGTGAGGGGACGTCTGTTCTACTCTTTTCTTCTGTTGTTTTCGAATCTTGCTCGACTCTTTTTGCATTCCGTCCCAAACCCGCCTGGGGGAGGACACGCCCGACCTAACACACGCTGTATGTACACGTACCCAGACATCCAACGTCCCGATGTTTTCGTGACACGGGCCCCCGACCTCCCGACCGCTTCCCCAGGACCCGCTTTACGTCCCGAGTCGTTGTTTGACGGCCCCGAGGCCTGGCGAGGGCCCCGTGAGGCCGAAAACAACGAGAAACGTCCGTCTCGATCTTTTCGAGGCGCCCGATGTCTGGGCAAGCCTTCGCAGCTCCGCGCGCCAGGGGGGGTGGGTGGGCCGCGCCGCGCCAGAGCCTGCGCATAGGGGGCCACGCGCGAACCCTAACCCTACCCCCCACGATTTCTGAGGAGGAGGGTAGGGTTCACTTCGCCTGGGAGCTCCCGAGCGAAGTGAGCCCCACCCTCCCCCTCGGAATTTTTTGGGGGGTAGGGGTAGGGTTCGCACGTGGCCCCCTATGAGTGTGGGGCCGAACAGCACCGAAAAAAAAGTTTCGGACCGAGCAACATGGAGGAGGAGGAGGAGGAGGAGGAGGAGGAGGAGGAGGAGGAGGAGGAGGAGGAGGAGGAGGAGGAGGAGGGAAGGAGGAGGAGGAGGAGGAGGAGAGGAGGAGAGAGGAGGAGGAGGAGGAGGAGGAGGAGTGAGAAGGAGGAGGAAGGAGGAGGAGGAAGAGGAGGAGGAGGAGGGGGGAGGAGGAGGGGGAGGAGGAGGAGGTAGAAGGAGGGGTAGGGTCCGCGTGTGGCCCCCTAGATGCGCGCGGACCGCCCCTCGCGCCGTTCTGCTCCCGCCGGCCGCGCCTCCTCCGGAGGGGGGGCTTTGGGGGGCGCCGCGCACGGCGCGGGGGCGCGGCAGGCCCAGACCTCGGGCGCCTCGAAGCCAGCGGGACGGAGGTGTCTCCCCGCTTGCGGCCTCGGGGGGCCCCGGCCAGGCCCCGGGACCGTCCGCAAAACCATCGGGACGGAGGTGCCTCGAAACCGTCGGGACGGAGGTGTCTCCTCGTTTGCGGTGCCGGGCCTCGGGCGCCTCGAAGCCAGCGGGACGGAGGTGTCTCCTCGCTTGCGGCCTCGGGGGGCCCTGGCCAGGCCCCGGGACCGTCCACAAAACCCTACGACAAGTGCAGGGAATACTGGAGCTGTGTAGCTTGCTTCCAACTTGTGTGAAACACGCGAGACCATTATCATTTCGAAAAGTGCAGCCCGACGGCCGGCGGATCCTCCACGTTTTTTGACAGTAATATTTCAGCTACGGACGACTCGGGATGAAAAACTGGTCCATGGGGAATGGGTCGAGACTTCTGGGGACCCGGCGTTGAAAAAATCACGGCGTCGGATCTCTGGGAACTGAGCGACAAAATGGCGGGGTGAGAAAATGGGGGGGCAGCAAGGGCTGCAGAAAAAAAAAAGCCCTCCCCAGACCCCTTCGCGCTGTGACGAAAGTTACGACGGGAGGCGTTCGGCTATTTTCAGCCTCTGGGGGCCCTCGCCGGGCCTCGGGACCTTCGAAAAACGATTCGGGATGAACAAGCGGTCCTCGAGAAGGGGTCCAGACCTCTGGGGGTCGACGTTGTGAAAATATGACGACGTCGGGGGTCTGGGTTTGGGGCCCCCTCAAGTTGTCCTGGGGGGCCCAAGAGGAAGCCTTCAGGGGCTCGAGTCGTGCACCTTTCTCTCCCTCCCCCCCCATTCCCAGAACCCCGACGTCGTGAGATTTTCACAACGTCGACCCCCAGAGGTCTGGACCCCTTCCCCAGAACCGTTTTTCATCCTGGGTCGTTTTTCGAAGGTCCCGAGGCCCAGTAGGGGCCCCCCGAGGCTGAAAATAGCGAGAAACCTCCAGTCGTGATTTTTGTCACCGTGCGAAGCCCAGACATCCGACGTCTTGATTTTTTCGAGACGCGGGCCCCCGATCCTGACCGCTTCCCCAGGACCGGTTTTGCATTCCGTCGCCTTTTTTGGACCGCCCCAAGGCCATGCGAGGGCCCCGAGAGGCCAAAATCTACGAAAAACCTCCACCCCGATTTCTTCGAGACGCCCGATTTCTTCGAGACGCCCGATGTCTACGAGGCCCCCCCAGGAGCGCAGACAGGGCAGAGGCCTTCCGGCGCACGGTCGGCCAGGAGCACACCTTCGAGCATGCGGTCGACGGCTTCGAGCCGCAGTGGACCCCCCCTCCTCCTCCTCCTCCTCCTCCTCCTCCTCCTCCTCCTCCCTCCTCCTCCTCCTCCTCCTCCTCCTTCCTCCTCCTCCTCCTCCTCCTCCCTCCTCCTCCTCCTCCTCCCTCCTCCTCCTCCCTCCTCCTCCTCCTCTCTCCTCCTCCTTCCTCCTCCTCCTCCTCCTCCTCCTCCTTCTCCCCCTCTCTCCTCCTCCTCCTCCTCCTCCCCTCCTCCTCCTCCTCCTCCTCCTCCTCCTCCTCCTCCCCTCCTCCTCCTCCTCCTCCTCCTCTCCTCCTCCTCCTCCTCCTCCTCCTCCTCCTCCTCCTCCTCCTCCTCCTCCTCCTCCTCCTCCTCCTCCTCCTCCTCCTCCCTCCGCAGGACGCGCAGTTTCGGGGAGGCCGCCGCGCAGGGGGCCGGCGCAAGGCTGCTCCACGACGGGCGGCCGGCGGCGGCGCCGCGGAGGGCCTGCGACGTGGACCTGGGCGGCTTCTGGGGGCGCGGTGTCTCCATCAATGGGCCGATTCTCCACCACCTCCACCGCCATAGGTTGGAGAGGGAGGAGGAGGAGGAGGAGGAGGAGGAGGAGGAGGAGGAGGAGGAGGAGGAGGAGGAGGAGGAGGAGGAGGCGGAGGAGGAGGAGGAGGAGGAGAAGGAGGAGGAAGAGGACGAGGAGGAGGAGGAGATCTCCCCCGTCCTACCCATGGTAGTGGTGGTGGAACATTGGCGCATCATCCATGCCCGCGTTCGAGCGCCTGATCGAGAAGCTGAGGTCAGTGCAGGCGTTCGGGGGAGGAACAGGTTCGTTCCCCAGACCCCCTCGCGGTGTGACAAAAATCACGACGGGAGGTTTTCTGCTATCTTCGGTCTTGGGGGGACTTCCCCGGGCCTCGGGACCGTCAAAAAACGAGCCAGGATGAGAAACCGGTCCTAGGGAAGGGGTCCAGAGTCCATACCTATGGGCGTCGACGTTGCTGAACAAAATCATGACGTCGGGGGTCTGGGCAGGTTCAGCTACACGTAAGAGAGTGACCCTTCGCCTCGAGCGACCTGTGGTGCGGGCTCATGGGTCCCCTTGATCGCTGGGCGCGATGCGATAGCTCGACCAACGATTAAACGACACCACCCCACCTACGGCCCTCCATGTTTCGCTACGGCCCGTCGGGGACCGTAGGGTATACCTCGCAAAAACCTACGCCAGATCTCCTTGTATGCGCCAAGCCCCGTAGGGCCGTAGGTGGGGTGGTGTTAATTTCTTGATTCAATAGCGGCTGCTTGCGCGCTTTGGCCACTTTGCGCCCCCCTAGAGCTGGGCATCAGAGGTCATTCTTGCCTCATGGGCCACTCGCGCGTGCGGTCGAAACAGGTGCCGATACCGCTGCTGTTGCCTCGTGCTCCCCTTCGTGGGGCCTCTTGGGAGGCATGCGCCTGGCTGTACTCGCCTCGAGACGCTGGTTGGAGCTCGCACACCCGGAGAGGTCCGGGGGAGGAGCTGTGGACCATTCGGGTGTTTCAATGTCGCTTGAACCGCTGCAGACGTTTTTTCGGTTTGGTGGACATCGATCGGCTTTTTTGTTGGCTCTGAGCGCCGTTTTTGTTACGTCGTCATGTCCGGGATCGGTTCGGGCTCTCCTGCGCGTTGCATTTCCGTTTCCATGGCGTTGTAAGTAATTCATCATGTAGATGTCACAAGTGCCGTTTTTCTAACGCCCACTTTCTGGGGTGCCGTGATTTCTTTATATATAATCACGTTTCGGTTGGGTCAAGAGCGAAGCGTGGAAAACGGTCGAGGGCCTCCTCCATTTCGCGGTCGAGCACAGGCCAAGACTGGCAGGATCCGTTGAGTCCTTTTTTATATCCCGCCGAATCCTGCTTATAAGCCTGTGATGAATCAACTGTAGGTGCTCAACTGACTTCATCCCCTCTCACGAAGAACTCCCAGGGGGTGCCTCCCAACCCAGAGATCCGACGTCGTGATTTTTTTCAACACGTGGTCCCCAGAAGTCTCGACCCACTCCCCAGGGCCGGTTTTTCTCCTGAGTCGTCTTTTGACGGCCCCGGGGCCCAGCAAGGGCCCCCAGAGGCCGAAAATTGCGCAAAAAACTTCGTCTGGATGTTTTCCATGCGTTGCATCTCTGGGGCTACATTTAGGTCGGGCCTGTCCCCCTACAGGGGAATTGTCGACGAAAAATAAACATACCCCCAAAATAGTAAAAAAATAATCCAAAAATAATGTGGGGACGCTGTTTTGGCCAGTTTTTGACTTTTGGTGGGTATTTTTGCTGTATGTTTTGCTCTTCGTCGACAACCCCCCCTGTAGGGGGACACGCCCGACACAAGACTGCAGGTGTACCGCCTCGACCTGAGCGACAACGGCCTCAACGGCAACTTCGTGCCCGGCGTCCTCGCGGTGGCCCGCCGCGGCGTGCGGCAGTCGGGGGCGGAAAAGAGGGGGGTGATGACTAGGGGGGGGGGGAGATCATGGCGGGGGCCAGGATATCTCCCCAGATTTCATGGCGCCTCTTCTTATTTCATTACGTCCCTGGCCCCCCCGCTGGGCCGCGCACATGCCGCCGGTCATGATTTGCACCCCCCCCTCTTGGACACCCCCCTCTTGGCCGCTCCCGAGGCAGCTGGACCTCTCGCGGAACGCGCTGGAGGCCGAGGCCATGCAGAGCCTCCTCCGCGCCCTGCCGCCCGCCGCGCCCCGGCTGGAGAGCCTGGACCTGCGGCTCCCGCCCTTGGAAGGGAGAGAGAGAGCTCGGAGGGAGGGGGACTGCCAACCTCGTTGAGGGCCCTTGGGCTTGCATTGCTCCTCCTCCTCCTCCTCCTCCTCCTCCTTCTTCTCCTCCTCCTCCTCCTCCCCTGCCCACCAGTACGTGAGAACGCAAAGGCTCAATCTTGAACGACCTGCTCCTCCTCCTCCTCCTCCGTCCTCCTCGGGGGCCCCCAAGCCCCATGCAGAGATCCGACGCTCCCGAAAAATGGGAGCGGGCGGCTTCTGGCTGAGGTCGGCCTCTGGGGGCGTGTGCCGGGCCTCGGCAGTGTCCTGACACGGCTCTCTTGGCGGAACACCGGCCTTACTATAGTCAGGAGGGGAAAAAAACACAGACAGAATGAATCGTCGATCCCCAGGAAAAGATGGGAAAATATGGAAAGTGGGGGGGAGCACGAAAATCCAAGAAAGATTGAAAAATATAGGGAATCCTTTTGTTTGTGTGTGTATTGATTTGTGTGGGTCCCAGGGTCCCTTTATATAGGGAAGTGGCCCAGACCTCCGGGGCCCACGCATCGAGAAACTTAGAAGGAGCAGCCGAGTGTCTGGGGCTGCGCGGTGATCTCCAGAGCCCCGAGCCCTCGGGGCGAGGGGCGGGCCGGGTATACGCCCTGCAGATTCGCGCCTCGGGGGCCCGGGCCGGAGGTACCCCGGACCGCAGCCCAGACGTGATCGCGTCGTTAAAAAATCGACTAGACGCAGGAGTGACCTTTCGCCGGAGTGACCTCTGGTGCGGGCACAGACGGGCCCCCAGGTGGCTGAAAGCGAGGCAGGAGCAGTGGCCTGCGCGCCCAGGCTTGCCCCCCCCCCCCCGCAGCCCCCCAAAAGCCGCGCACCAAAGGTCACTCTTACCCAGGGTCACTCTTGCGTGTACCCGAAAGAAAAAGAGCGGGCGGTGTTTGGCTATTTTCGGCCCTGGGGGGCCCTCGCCGGGCCTCGGGACCGTAACAAAAACGACTCGGGGCGAGAAGCCGGTCCCGGGGAAAGGGTCGGGACTTCGGGGACGCCGTGCTGAAACAAAATCAGGACGTCGCACGTCTGGGAGTGCTCCTGGACAGGTCGGGTGTCCAAGTGACGGACCGCGCTGTGACCTTCGGGGGCGGAAAAGAGGGGGGTGATGACAAGGGGGGGGTGGAAAATCATGGCGGGGGCCATGATATTTCCCCAGATTTCATGGCGCCTCTTCTTGTTTCATGACGTCCCCGGCCCCCCCCGCGGGGCCGCGCACGTGCCGCCGGTCATGATTTGCAGCCCCCCCTCTTGGCCTCCCCAGACATCCGACGTCATGATTTTTTCATGACGCGACCCCCAGAGGTCCGGACCCATATCCCGGGACCGGCTTTTCATCCTGAGCCGTTTTTTGACGGGCCCGAGGGCCGGTAAGGGCCCCCGGAGGCCGAAAATAGCCAAAAACTTCACGTCGTGATTTTTTCAGGACTCGAGGGGGTCTGGGTCTTGGCCGCTCCCGAGACCTCGAGGGCCCGAGAGGAGACCCCACTCCGCGCGGTCCGTCACCGCACGGCCGCGGGGGGCCGCCTCGGAGAGGGGCGGGCCGGCCCGAGGCGTCCTCGGAGAGCGGGCCCCGAGTGCCCCGAAGCGCGCGGTGGCCCCGAGCCCCCACGGATTCACCGCGCGGTGTGGTCACCACGCCGTCTGGGGCCCCCCAAATCCCAGACCCAGACCCCCTCGAGTTGTGGAAAAATCACGGCGGGATGTTTTTCATTGTTTTTGGCCTTTGGGGGCCTTGACCGGCCCTCGGGACCGTCAAAAAACGACTCAGGACGAAAAACCGGTCCCGGGGAATCGAGACCTCTGGGGGTCGACGTAATGAAAAAATCATTACGTCGGGGGTCTGGGATCCCAGACATCGGGCGTCTCGAAAACATCGAGACGGAGGTTCTTCGTCATGTTCGGCCTCCCGGGGTCCTCGCTGGGCCTCGGGACCGTCAATAGAAACGACTCGGGATGAGAAGCCGGTCCTGGGGAAGTGGTCGGGAGGTCGGGGGCACGTGTCTCGAAAAAATCGGGACGTCGGATGTCTGGGATCTCCTGGTTCCGCCCGGAACGTTTGGCCGCTCAGACAGGGTGGGGCACCCAGGGATAGACACCCCGAGGGGGCTCATCGGACGCACCCCCCATCGAGGATGGACGCCCCCCCCATCGTACCCAGACCCCCTCGAGTCATGAAAAATTCACGACGGGAGGTTTTTCATTATTTTTGGCCTTTGGGGGCCCTTACCGGCCCTCGGGACCGTCAACAAACGACTCAGGACGAAAAACCGGTCCCGGGGAATGGGTCGAGACCTCGGGGGGTCGACGTCATGAAAAAATCATGACGTCGGGGGTCTGGGTATACATCCCAGGGTTGGGCACCACATGTGTGGTCCATTCCGAAACACTTCGGAACCTGGGACAGGCCCAGACCCCCGACGTCGTGAATTTTTCATGTCGTCGACCCCCAGAGGTCTCGACCGACCTATTCCCCAGAACCGGTTTTTCATCCTGGGTTGTTTGTTGACTGTCCGGTGTCCCGGTAAAAGGCCCCCATAAGCCGAAAATGATGAAAAAACCTACCGTCGTGTCGGGGGTCCGGGGATACATCCAGACATCCGACGTCTCGATTTTTTCGAGACACGGGCCCCCGACCTCCCGACCGCTTCCCCGGGACCGGTTCTTCGTCCCGAGTTGTTTTTGTTGACGGTCCCGAGGCCCGGTGAGGGCGCCGAGAGGCCGAAAACGACCAAAAGTTTCCCATCTCGATTTTTTTCGAGACGACCGATGTCTGGGTACAGTGCCGTTTTTTTTTTTTTTTTTTTTTTTTTTTTTTTTTAAATTACATGCTCCGCGTGCGGATCATGTATAAAAAATGCAGGGATTTAGTACCAAAAACAACGATGAGTTCAGGCATAAAATTATTCATGAATCGATCACGTATTTAAAATCACATACTTAAACAAAATCCCATGTATTAAAAATTGCCCTGTATCATCCCCTGCAGAAGCGGACCCTGCGGGCAGATGGTCCCGGGGGGGCGTTGCCGCGCTCGGGCTCCAGGGGGTGGCCCTGCTTCAGAGCCCCAGGCAGCAGGCACGGGCGAAGCCAGGACTTGGCATCGCTCGGACGTGTGCATTTTTTTCGGCGACGGCCATCGAGGAGCATCCTTGATCATTTGGCGAAGCAAAAACACGCACGGAACGAAAAAAACACAGGGAATGGACGTCCGAGCGATGCCCAGCGGACCGAAAATGAGTGTGGGGCCGAACGGCACCGAAGAAAAGGTTCGGACCGAGCAGCAGATCTTGTCTGAGAACAACATCTGTTCGGGACCGAGGCAATATGGAGGAGGAGGAGGAGGAGGAGGATGCGGAGGAGGAGGAGGAGGAGGAGGAGGAAGAGAGGGAGGAGGAGGAGGAGGAGGAGGAGGAGGAGGAGGAGGAGGAGGAGGAGGAGGAGGAGGAGGAGGAGGAGGAGGAGGAGGGGGAGAAGTAGGGGGAGAAGGAGGGGTAGAAGGAGGGGTAGAAGGGGCAGGAGGTGGAGGTGGAAGAGGAGGAGGATCAGGATCAAACTTCTTGGGTTTGAGCTGCGAAAGCTAAATTTCGGTCTCAACAGAGAAACTGGTCGGCCCCGGGGCAGCGTGCCCCCGAGGCTCCCGGGAGCGCCCAGGCCACCTATCGGGCGGTGTCCCGGTCGCGCGGCGCCCGGGGCCGGCACGGGGGCGCTCTCTTTCTCTTGTCGACGGCCCGTGTCGGCGTCCTGGTTCGCCGATAGCCCCACCAAAGAATGTTCTAAGAACCTCTTGTCCAGGGCATAAAAAAACGCCCCTACCCTGGTTTACGAGGCGCTGTGCGCTGAAACTCCTGTGGGCTGACAGGGTAAACCCTGCGTGATGTGCCGCGTCCTGGCGGCTCTAGGCTTTCGGGGTTCCCAGGAGGTTTACAGACCACGCACTTGTAATCCAGGATAGGGTTGTTTTTTCATCCCTCAGTTTGTGGTTTCCAGGAAATGTTCTTAGAACATTTCTGGCGGAATCTGTCTTGTTCGAACACATCGGGTTTATGTTCTGGGAACGTTGTTTTTGTTCTTCTTTGAACATTTCTGGGTTCTGAGGACATGTCGTGGTATGACTATAGGAATGCCAGGACGGTCGGTCCCTGCTCAAACGTGGGGGTGGCCTGTCGGAGGCATCGAGGCGGAGGTGTTGCGTCGTGTTCGGCCTCTCGGAGCCCTCGCGCCCTCCTCCTTAGGGGGGCAAAAGGTGACATAAGCATAAAATCTTGGAGGTCCGCGCGGATTTCTCGGATCGGCGCTGGACCCTCCTCCCTGGCGCGCGGAGCGCGCCAAGGGCGGCGCCGGAGGCGCCGCCGGGGGGCCCCAGAAATCCGCGCGGACCTCCGAGTCGACGGCACGTGGGTGTGGCCCGTCGCAGAAAGCGAGGCGGAGGTTCTGCGTCGTGTTCGGCCTCTCGGGGCTCTCGCCGGGCCTCGGGGCCGCCAAGAAACGGTCTGGGAGGGAGAGGCTGGCCCCGGGGGAAGTGATGCGGCGGGATCGGGGGCCCGCGCCTCGGAAAAATCGCGACCTCGGCTGACTGTGCTCCTGCCGACTGCACGTGAGAGTGATTCTTCGCCAGGGTGACCTCTGGCGCGGGCCCAGTGGGGTCCCCCCGATCGCCGAATGCGATGCGGCGGTAGCGTCTTGCGCGCTCGTGTTTGGCCCCCCCCCCGCGGCCCACAACGAGCCGCGCAGCAAAGGTCACTCTTACCCAGGGTCACTCTCCCAGAGATCCGACGTCGTGATTCTTGTCCATGCGGGATCCCCGGAAGTCCCGACCCGTTCCCCGGGACCGTTTTCTCGTCCTGCGTCGTTTTTTGGCGGTCCCGAGGCCCGGCGAGGGCCCCGAGAGGCCGAAAGTTGCGAAAAACCTCCGTCTTGATGTTTTCAGTGCGTTGGATCTCTGGGCTGGCGTGTCGTCGATCCTGCCCCTCCTCCGCCATGAAGGGAAGGAGCCCCGAGGGAGCCGGGCCCTGGAGCCTTAAGCCGCCGTTCTCGGGCTCGCGGGGCACCCCCCCTATAGGCTATAGCCTATAGGGGGGTGCCCCGCGAGCCCGTATATATAGGGCCTATATAGGGCCCATAGCCCCGGGTGTGCCTATATAGGGCCTATATAGGGCCTATAGGGCCTATATAGGGCCTACATAGGCGAGCCCGCTATGCCTATAGCTTATAGGGCCTATATATAGGCCCTATAAGCCCCTGGTGTCGCTTGAAAACGCCTCAGGATGAAGAGCTTCTCCTGCTTCGGGGGCGGCCAAGAGGCGGGTGATGACTAGGGGGGGTGGATCTCATGGCGGGGGTCATGATATTTTCCCAGATTTCATGGCGCCTCTTCTTATTTCATTGCGTCCCTGGCCCCCCCGCTGGGCCGCGCACATGCCGCCGGTCATGATTTGCTCCCCCCCCCCTCTTGGAACCCCCCCTTCTTGGCCGCTCCCGACTGCTGGGGGAGTCCCCCCGGGCTCCGGGACTTGTGTTCTTCAGGACCCGTTTCCTTCCTGCCAAGGTTCAACCCGTGCCAGCACCGCACGACCTTCGCCGCGAGCGTGGCCGGTGCCGCGCGGAGCAGAGAACGCTGCCAGTGCCGATGACGATGCCACCACGGCCCCTGACCTCTCCCAGGACGCCATTCTGGCTACCAGTCCCTGGGCGACTGCAGCGCGGCGGCGCCGACCGGATTCGCTGCCAGGGCTGATGCCGCTGCTTCCTATAGACTCCCTTGGTGTCGCTCTGGCCAGGACTCCCGGGCGGGTCTCAGCCGTCGCCGCGACGGCGAGGGCCGAGCAAAGGACGATCGGCGGGACGCCCCCCCCCCCCTCCCCGAGGAGGGAGGAGGGCAAAGGCGGCATCGATGAGCTCTTCCCGCCCGGCGGCTGTCGTCCCCCCGACGGGCGTCGGAGCGCCCAGCTGGGGAACGAGGCTCTCGCGGAACCCCGCTAGTCATCGCCGGTTTCTCTAGCGGGGCGGCCCACCTGCCCGCCCGCCTGCTTCGTCCTGCCTGGCCCTGGCGCTCCCGCCTGCGCGGTCGTCGCCGCCTGCCTGCTGCTGGAGGGATTTCTCCGAAGGGCTTAGGCGACCCCTCCTCCTCCCTCCTCCCTCCTCCTCCTCCCTCTCTCCTCCTCCTCCCTCCTCCTCCTCCTCCTCCTCCTCCTCCTCCTCCGCCTCCTCCTCCTCCTCCCTCCTCCTCCTCCTCCTCCTCCTCCTCCTCCTCCTCCTCCTCCTGAGAAGGTGTAGAGAAACAAAGACGGGCGCTCCTGGTCGAACGCATATGGGAGGCCTACGAAAAACGGAACCTCGCCGAGATGCACCGACTACGCATCCAGTACCAGAGGAACGGACGCGGGCCAAAGAAAAGGTACTATCGATCTGCTCGAACCCACTGGCCTTGCGACTACTGGTATCAGGAGCTCGCCCATCCAGCTTTGGAAGGGGGACTAGGAGCAAGGCCTATCGACAGAAAGGCAGAGAGAGCAGCACACGAGGCCTTCGTCCAGGAGCACATCGACCGATTGCCGACCGACCACGATCTTCTTTTTCAGGTCGAGGCCGACAAGCGAGCGATGCGTAGGTACTGCCAGCGAGCCAGTAAACGACGGGCCTGGCCACCATGGGGCATCCCGATAGAGATGACATGGTTGATGATCGATCCCACCCTCCATCTTCAGGACCCAGCAGAGCTCAGCAAACGACTAGAAGAAAAGCGAGTAGCAGCTGCAGAAAAAAGGGGGGACGAAGATGAGCTTGCACACTACACGACACTGGGACGATGCAAGAAGGGGAGGGAACTGCTTCGACGGCTGGGGTGGACAGAAGGTACCAGGTTGGGACGTGTGCCGACAGCGACTGATGGGACAGAAGGAGCCGCCTGGGAGCAGCAATCTTACGCAGTGGGGAGGGGCAGGTACGCAGGATTAGGTGCAGACACGATTGCGGACCACAGCAAAGGGTACGTGAAGTACCTAGACCAATTCCTTGCACAATGCAGAAGTTGTCAGGTCACCCCGTTGGACTGGCACCGATCACAAGCATTCCCAGCAGAGAAACACAACAACAAAGAAGGGATACTAGGGAAGCGTATACTACACGTCTACGATTCCTTTGGAATGGCTTGGCACTCAGGCATCCACGCACGTGGTTTACCCACAACGCAGGCGCCCTGGGCCCAAGGAGGCCTCCCACACCGCTGTCGGGAAAACGCCATCCTCTGCGTACAAGCGGCCCAATGGAGGGCTGCACAAGGGGGGGTGAGCACAATCACAACCAACTACGACGGCACCAACGCGTTTGCAGCCACCAACCGAGCTTTACTCAGAGCGGTTGCCTTCAGGCAAGCACACGAGCACGACCAGCGCTTCGCCATGGCAGCAATTGACCACTCTACCCTGACGCTCGAAGCTGCCGACGGCACAGTCGAAGCTGAGAGCACCACAGGCGCCCAAATGGGCTTCACTCTCTGCTCAAGGCAATTCAACGACGCATACAACCTGTACGTCACAAAATGGTGGGAACAAGGCCGCACGGACCCAGACCAGATTATCCACGACACGACCAACCCAGTCGCAGGCAACACTCACGACTTAGCTTTCAACACGTTCATGGACGACATCACCTATGTGCAGACAATCTTACCCGCAGCGACGGCTGGAGACATTGAACAACAACTCAACAACAACACAGAACGCCTTTCCCAAACAATAGCAGCAGGAGGATGGGGACTCAATAGTGCCAAGACCAACCACCTACTATACCTAGTTGGGCAAGGCTGCTACGGGAAAACCAGACAACTCAGACGCAGCAAAACACTGCAAGGTCAGGCGCTAAGGGAGATGCGTGTACTTGGCCCCTACCTACCAGCTGGACAGGGCATCACTGGCGAGGTCGTGCGGCGCATCGCAGCCATCCGCGTTGCATGGCGACAGTGCGGGATCTTCTGGACCTCTAAGGTACCCCGACAAATAAAACGCATGATGTTCATGGCCTTCGTGGTAGGTGCGGCCCTTAGCGGATTGCCTGCGCTAGTTCTGACAGATGCCCACACAACAGCAATCGACAGCGTACTAGGCAAGTACCTACGGACGCTAGCGGGAGGAGCAATGTCGTGGACCAGAACAGATGGGACAGTGAGGTGCAACAACTTGCGACAGGTGTTCAGATACTGGAGACTTGAGCGCACATCCGTATCTTTGCTGGTGCGACGCCTACGATGGTACCAGAACTGGTCAAGGCACCCTTGGGAGCACGGAGCAGTCATAGCAGCGGTGTTCGGAACATCCAGACTAGACGCGGCTCAGGACATACGGCGACTAGAGGGGCAGGGATTCGTGGGCCCACCTCCACCCCGTGGGCACAGCAGTTTGCAGCCGACATGCATGTGATAGCAACAGTGGACGAGAGCATGGGATGGTATGCAGACAGGGAATCCGACCTCGCCATATTCGAACAGGGGAGTACGGAACAAAAAAAACTGGTTACAAACAGACCCATCAATATTGTACAGTTACGAGCGAAACTGGGATATGCTCACGACACGAGATGCGAGGATACAGGAGGAGGAGGGCAGGGAGGAGGATACACTAAAACCTTACTGGTGCGATCATACGACGAAGGGCGAAAACGACACGGAACAGAGGTGTGGCATGCGCTTTGCGACATACGCAGCACTAGTTGGGCATCGCCGAGAGACCCACAACATCCGACCAGTGGTGGCGTCCGTAATCGTCAACAACCAGTGCCCCTGGTGCAAGAGCACATTTATTAACCGTAAGGTATGTGTCGACCACGCAGTCAGGGCTGTACACGGCCACGGTATCTGCCACCAAGACAGGTCGATGTGGTCCCACCCCATTTCCGACCCCAGCTCCCTTAGCTGCCAGATCTGCAACCACGAGGCTCAAACTCTTGAGGATTACCGCGCACACATACGTGAGCACATAGCAGGGCCAGAGTCGATCAGAGCAGCACGGGGAGAAGGAGCACATGTCGCACGGGGGCCACGGCGACTGGCGCATTAGGGCCAGTACGAAGAGAGGAGGAGGCGCAGCCGAAGGGCAGCGACCAGCACAGCGCCCACACCTCGGCGGTGGCGGAGTCGGCTCGTCAGACACGCAGCAGTCGCAGCAGACGCCGCAGCAGCCGCCCCCCACCCAGCGCCGAGGAGGAGGAGGTCGAGGACCCCCAGGAGGCGGCCGTGGTGGGGGAGGAGGCGGCCAGGTGGAGCTACGGGACCAGCTGAGATCGCTCCAGAGGCTCACCCTCCAGAACTCGAACGAGATTCGCAATTTTCTGCATCTCACGGGAGAGTTCTGGCTGACGCCGCTCGAGCCAGAATGGGTGCAGGCGCCGATGGAGACAGGCAGGGGGTACGGGCGGAAGGTAAAGCAGCTGGGCAAGGGGCGCGGCCTCGGACCACCGCATGGCCAGGTGGCGGCGAGCTTAGTCGAGGAGATCGTGGCGGTGCTCGATTCGGAGGAGCAGAAGCTCGACGCGTCCCTCCTCCACGTGAGACAGCTCCTGAAGGAGTTCATGAGCCAGCTAGACGATCCCTGGGGACCAATCTTCATCACGGAGGTCTTCTTGCAGTGCAAGATCCAGGAGGCATACAACAAGACGGGCGAGGACGTGGAGATGGACATCAAACAGTGCAAGGCCAAGCTCATCTACACGATCAACACGGCGCCGAGCTTCAGGGCCGCGCTGCACGACCAGAAGCTGGAACAGGAGCAGTACGACAAGATCGCGGGCTTCAAGCGGGACATATTCAAGCAGGCCCTGGGCCACGCGTTGGCGCACCTCGGGGCCGCGAAGAGCCGCTCAGGAGGCCCGAAGACGGGCCTGGAGAGGGCAGTGGAGGCGCAGCTCAACAGGAGGTGAGCCAAGGCACACCCCAGCCAATGCCCAGCAGCTCGCCCCGCCGCGAGCGAGAGAGCCCCGCGGGCCAGCTCCCGCCAGGCCCGCAGCCCAGCGGAGCCAGCAGCTCGTTGTCGAGCAGCGCCGTCGAGCCACGCCTCAACTCCATGGGGCGCCCTCGTGCCTGGCCACCATCATCACCGCCAGTGAGCCGAGAGGAAAAAATTGCACAGCAGATTAGTGCAGACCTTGTTCGTATGACGAGTCTCAGAAGCCAGGCCGAACAACACGGAGGCCAGATGGCATACCTATATCGGATGGCTACGTACTATCGGGACCTACGACCAAGGGACTATTACCAGCCTATGGCAAAAAAAATGAGGGGGACGGCGGACTTTCTAATTACGCAGCCGTCACCCTACAATTACACGGGCTCCCACTACCTACGCCCCCTCCCCCCACCAACTCCCACTGCCCAACCTACCATCTCTTCCTCAGGCAATCAGCTCTCTACTAGTTCCACTCACATTCGGGGTCTGCCTGTCATACAGTATCGCTGATGCACGCTCGAAGCCGACGTATCTGCGACCTCGTACCGGACAGTATACAGAACGACAGTACATGCTACAGGGTACACATCGCGTACTACGACAGCATACACAGGGAACTACCACACCACAGCATCCAGCACAGCCATGCGATTGTGACCCGACCACGGTTCGACCTCTCCTCTCCCGCTCAGATATCCAGCTCTTGCCCGCTTCAGCTATCACAACTGTTACCTCTCTCGACCTCCAGAGGATAGAGTGAGTAAGAGTCGCACACTAAGGAAAGGCACAGGATTCCGACAGCAGCAAACAACCGTGCCTACGCCTACTCTCACATCAAGGTCCTACTACGGTTCCTTACGGCCCAACCACTGGGAACTAAGGAAACTACTACAATACCTAAGGTGTACAACAGTAGGCGGGAACCACTAAGGTAAACAAGGATCGGTACACAGCTCGACATACTACCAGAGGACATTTGCGACTCGAGCATCTTCGCGGCCTCCTTATCCAGTGCTGGCGGACACTCCGCCTACATCCAGAGCCAGCGCCCCGAGGGCGCACGACCAGAGCAGCGATGGCGGCGCAGGCGCACACGGCGAAGGGGGAGATGGCGCAGCAGCCTGCTGCTGAAGATCATCTGCAGCCGACGATAGTGCAGAAGCCGCACGACAGAGGAGGCATGGGAGGAGTGGCGGACCAAGTGGCGGGCACGGCGGCGTACAGGCTCGAGATCGCGCACAACACACTCCAGAGCACCGCCGTCGCGTTCAAGGTGGCGACCGAGCACTGCGAGAAGGCCCTCCACGCGCTCCACAAGCAGCGGGAGAAGGTGGTGACCACCTTAGGCCGCATGAACGCGAAGAGCCTCAATCCATATGAAGAAGCGGAGCGCAGCCAAGCGAAGCTCTACCTCAAGGAGCAGCTCCACGACATCAACTGCGCCATCAGTTCGATGATGAGCGCCATCGGCATCACCGACGACAAGATGGGCAAGACCATGCACGGGCCGATGCCATGGGAGCTGGACTACACGAGGCGCCAGGCCGACGAGATCGACAACATATACACACGCTGGACGAAGGGCCCGCACGGCTACGCCTACGACGAGGCTTTCTTCGCCTGCGACATGCAGACGGAGCCGATGGTGGAGCCGCAGATGGAGATCAAAGACTACCTCCAGCCCGCTCGCAGGCCGCCGTGCACCAACCCGAGCAAGAGCATAGAGGGCTGGGAGAACCGTGGCAAGGTTCTGAGCAGTGAGGCCAGCTCGAGCACCCCAGCCGCCGCCTCCGCAGTTACTAAGGCCGACGGCTCCGCTCAGAGCAGGGACGTCAGGCTCTCTTCGCCAAGGGCGGCAGCGGCAGCAGGCTGGGGCATAGGGCAGCAGCAGCAGTAGAGAGCAGACTGCACTAGGCCTGGCCTCCCTTTTTTTTCTCTCCCCACTACCGCCACAGAGGGGGGGCTCGGCAGCAAGCACTCACCGCATGGGCCAGTGCGGCCATGCACTACATAAGCCGAGTGCAGGGAGTACCAGGCCGCCTCTTCTTTTTTTTGCCTCTCTTTACCGTCTAGGGAGTGGGGGGGCGGGGGGGAGGAGGGGAGCGGAGGTGGGCGGGCTCTCAGCGGTGAGGGGTGCGCCCAGCGAGGCAGCCCCACATCGCCTGCAACAGTCGACAGGCCGAAACCGAGGCAGGGTCTCCCTGCTAGCGAGGCTCGGGGACCACGTCCAACAGAAGGACGGGCCCCGTCGCCTCAGGCGGCCCCCCCAAAGCTAGGGTGGGCTCGCATCCATATACTCCCCAGGGGTCAACATGCCTTTTTCGGTAGGCAGCGAGACCAGACCCCCAAGGGCCTTATCCTATTATCCTCCTCCTCCTCCTCCTCCTCCTCCTCCTCCCCCCTCATCATCATCATCATCATGATCATCATCATCATCATCATCATCATCATCATCATCATCATCCCTCCTCCTTCTCCTCTTCCTCCTCCTCCTCCTCCTCCCCCTCCTCCTCCTCCTCCTCATCCCTCCTCATCCCCTCCTCCTCCTCCTCCTCCTCCTCCTCCTTCTCCTCCTCTTCCTCCCCCTCCTCCTCCTCCTCCTCCTCCTCCTCCTCCTCCTCCTCCTCCTCCTCCTCCTCCTCCTCCTCCTCGGGTCGCCCACGGCCCGGGGGGGAACCGTGCACTTGCTCCCCGTTCCCTCGCTCCCTCTGCGGCAGCCGCGCCGCTGCGGTGCTCACAGGCGCGCTGCGGTGCTCGCAGACGCGCCGCGTGACCCACTCGTCCGAGCGACGTGGCGGAGCGCGCGGCGACAGCGACTCGCGCTCTGGGGGCCTGGGTCCGCCCGGTCCCCCTCTGCAGGTCCCGCGCTTGCCTGGGGCCACCTCCCCAGACCTCCTCCTCGTTCTCCTCGTCGTCCTCGTCGTCGTCGTCCTCCTCCTCCTCCTCCTCCTCCTCCTCCCCTCCTCCTCCTCCTCCTCCCCATCCTCCTCCTCCTCCTCCTCCTCCTCCTCCTCCTCCTCCTCCTCCTCCTCCTCCTCCTCCTCCTCCCCTTCGCTCGCTCGGGTTCGTGGCCTACACGTCTCGATTTTGTCGAGACGCGGGCCCCCGACCTCCCGGCCGCTTCCCCAGGACCGGTTTTTCACCCCGGGCCGCTTCTTGACGGTCCCGAGGCCAGGCGAGGGCCCCGAGAGGCCAGAAACGGTGCAAAACCTCTGTATCGATCTTTTCGGTACGCCCGACGTCCGGGTCTGTGTGTAGCGGTATGCCTTATCATCCGCCGATCTGATTGTTCAAGCCGCGGCCCCATAGGTCCCGACCGCTTCGCTGGGGGTAGCTCTTCGTCCAGAGTTTATGTCTGGCGGGCCCAGGCCGCGAGGACGGTCTCCCGAGGCCGAAGTCGAGGAGCGCGCCCAGGCTCCAGACGGAGCCAAAAGTTTTAGGTCGTCGGACTCTGAGGTCCCACGGCGCGAGAAAGGTTGGAATATCGGGCACAATCACCACCGACCATGGAGGAGAAAAGAAACCCCGAATCCTGACAACACAGTAGAGACGACGCGGCCTCACTGAGGCCCCCGCCTTCGCATCAGGGATCATCAGTCCAGGCGGTTTGGTCTGGCACACCTGCAGGGAAGACCCCATACCCCTAGTGTGTTTGTACCTCCGAACTGAGGTCCCCTGCCAAAGGGTCAGGTTTTTTTTTTCGTCAGTCAGCCGATGCCCCGGATCCCAACTTCCTGCGCCTTCTGTGTTGAGATGTGTGTGGGGGCCCCAGGGGCCGACCGCGAGCGAGCACGCCCGGCTCGAACGAGTGGAGGCGCCAGGAGCTCAGAGGGATGCTTGGGCTCCTTCTCGAGGTGCAGTGCAGCAGCTCAAGGGCCTGGTCCGCCTCGCCGTCACGGTGCGCTGCGACGCGGGCTCAACCGGCGCCGACGCCGGCGCTCCCGGGCGAATGCGCGCATGATGGGCCTGCCTTCCCACCACCACCACCACCATGAGTTGGAGGGAGGAATGAGGAGGAGGAGGAGGAGGAGGAGGAGGAGGAGGAGGAGGAGGACGGAAAGGAAGAGGAGGAGGAGGAGGAGGAGGAGGAGGAGGAGGAGGAGGAGGAGGAGGACCCCCTCCCCCTCCAACTTGTGGTGGTGGTGGAAAACAGGCCCATCAGAGTAAAGCCCGCCCCTGGGCTATTCGCCCTCAGCGTCGCGGCCGAGGCACCAGCACCACCACGGCGGGGGCCACCTCCAGCGAGGAGGTCCGCGCCCCCTGGCCGAGCTGGGAACTAGGGTCCAGTCGGGCCTGTCCTCTACAGGAGGAAGGTTCAAAAATAGTTAACTGTGTTCGAATATTTTGAGTGTATTTTGAGGTATTCTCTGTGTCCCTCAACAGTTCCGGGTCCCCGGACTAGTGGTACCCCCCGGACTACAGGTACCCCTTCCGTACACCCCCCCGGACTACAGGTACCCCCACCCGAACTACAGGTACCCCCCGGACGACAGGTACCCCTCCCCGGACTACAGGTACCCCCCCCCGGACTACAGGTACCCCCGTTTGCAGCAGCGCATGTGTTCGCGCGTGTCAGCGCGCGTGCGCGTGCGCGTGACGCGTGCAACGATGCGCGTGCAGTCCCGCGCGCGCAGACGCCCGCGCGCCGAAACCCGTGCGCGTGGAGCCACGCGTGCTTCGACGAATAACATGAGCGCCCCCCCGGACTACAGGTACCCCCGCGCGGCCCCACCCCCAGACTACAGGTACCCCTCCTCGGACTACATGTACCCCTTCCCCTACTACAGGTACCCCCCCCCGGACTACTGGCCCCCCCCCCCCCCCGGGCTACAGGTACCCACCCCGGACCACAGGTACCCCCAGAACTATTGAGGGACACAGAGTATTTGTTCATTTCTCGTCCAAAAACCGATTGTAGGGGGACATGCCCGACCTAAAACTAGGGGGGCGTCTCGAGCGCGAAGGCGGGCGACCACACCACCAGGATGGTCCCCCCGCCTGGCTTTCCTCCCGCCAGTGGTCTCCTGGTGATGGTGGTGGTATCGCTTCTCCTTGTTCAGAGGCCTCCTCGATGAGATCCGAGCAGATGGGACCAGAGGAACGCGCCGCATCGCAGATGCATCGCCGATGCATCGGCGGTGCATCAGCGATGCATCGGCGACGTCGGCGGTGCATCGGCGATGCCAACGCGGAGCAAATCAGGCTCCTCATCGGGCCGCAGCGGCGATGCATCGGCGATCCTCCGATCCTCCCTGCTTCACTTGGACCTCCTCTGGAGGCTTCCGAACAAGGAGGAACGACACCACCACCACCACCAGGGACCGCCACTCACCGGGCGCGCTCCACGATTCGCAAAGTGCCCACTCGCAAACGTCAACAAAATGAGCATTCTCGCCTCGATGTACAGTCGGGGCCCTGAAGAAGGAACCCTTTTCGTTGGGGAGGGGCTCCGTGTTCCTTAATTGTTTCGCAGCTTGCCTTAGATGTTCCTTAGGTTTTCGATAGGAAATCGAGGTTCACCTTGTGGAAAATAGGGGCCTCGTTCCTTATTGTGGGTTCCTTAGGTCAAGCCCCCCCGACTGTGCTCGCAAACGTCAAAAAATGAGCATGCTCGCCTCGATGTAATGGGTCGTAGATCCTCCTCGGCGGAGCCAGGCCACTTGCGAGTAGTTAGTTTGCGATCGCGGGAAGCGCTTGCCTAGCCACCGGGGAGGAGCCAGCGGGGGTCCCCCTGGTGAGACCTCCCCCGTCCCCTGACCCCCGACGTCATGATACTTTTTCATGACGTCGACCATCAGACCCAGACCCCCATCGAGGGAGGAGACACCACCCGGACCGGACAATTGGCGTTCATAAACGGCCATGGGCGTTTGCGAAACAGCCCTGCCCTGTTCGATCCCTTCTTTGGGCGCGCTTACTAAACGACTTCGCGTGTCGGGGAGGTCTTTATTGGGGGGGATGTTTTGACCTCGACCCTGTCCCGAATGGCCTTTTCTCAGCTGCCCGGAAGCTCTCCAGAAGATTCTTCGGAAGCTCTCTCCAGGCCCCGCCAGCATGCTTCGCCAGGCCTTCCCACGCCGCTCGGGCGCCCTGCTATCCGGGTTGGAGACTACACAAGCACCTCGTACCCAGACCCCCGACGTCGTGATTTTTTCATGACGTCGACCCCCAGAGGTCTGGACCCTTTCCCCGGGACCGGCTTTTCGTCCTGAGTCGTTTTTTGACGGTCCCGAGGGCCGGTAAGGGCCCCCAAAGGCCAAAAATATGAAAAACCTCCCGTCGTGAATTTTTCATAACTCGAGGGGGTCTGGGTAGAGCTCTTCGGTGCGATGGGCTACGAGGAATTCGGGCGCGGGGCCCCCGGAGTCACGACAAAATCACGGCGGGCGGGGTGCCGCTATCTTCGGCCTCTGGGGGCCTGCACCTGGCCTCGGGGCCGTCAAACATCAGGAGGAAAAAAACACACACAGACACAATGAATCGTCGATTCCGTAGAGATTATGGGGAAATATGGGAAGTGGGGGGGGGAAGACAAAAACCCAGAAGATATGGGAAAACATAGGGAATCCTTTTATTTGTGCGTATTTATTTGTGTGTCCCAAGGCCCCTTCAAAACACCGACCCAGGATGAAAAACCGGTTCCGGGGAGTGGGTCGAGACCTCTGGGGGTCGACGCCGTGAGAACATCATGATGTCGGGGGTTTGGGGAGGTCTCGACCCATTCCTCAGGAGCGGCTTCTCATCCTGGGTAGCTTTCTGACGGTTCCGAAGCTCGGCGAGGGCCCCCAGAGGCGGAACGTAGCGAAAAAGCGGTCGGCGTGACTTTTGTGTTTGACTCGAGGTGTTCGGTACCCAGCTCGGCGAGGCATCGTGGTCCCCATCTGGGAGGCCTGGATTGCATCCCTGGGATCCGACGGCGAGAAAAAACTAAGACTTCGCGAGAAGACACCTCTGGAGCCCTAGACCCCATTGTTCTGCATCAAGTATAGCCCAGACCTGCGACGCCCTGGCTGTTTTCAACGCGGCGCCCCTGGAAGTGCCGACCCTTTCCCCAGCACCGGCTTCTCATCCCGAGTCGTTTCTTGACCGTCGCGGCTCGAAACAATTGAGACGCCAGGATCTCAGGGGATGTCTGGGTACGCGCTGCCCTGGCCAAGCCAGGAGGGCGTATACGCCGCGCCTCTGGGTAAGTACTGGTGGACGACGGCGACGACGACGACGACGACGACGACAACGGCGGCGGCGACGACGACGACGACGGCGGCGGCGGCGGCGACGACGACGACGGCGGCGACGACCTGGAAGGCCTCGGATCTCTGGGGTGTACCTCGCCTGGGAGCCTCGGATCGTTCTGTGTCGTTCGTCTGCCCAGACCGACACGTGAGGGCCCGGGCGCCCGACGACAACGCTCAGGATCTCAGGGTGGAGACCCCATCTGGGCGGCCCGCTCCGATTGCGACAACAA